CACACCCTTCTTCGCACCCGCACCCACACCCGCTTAGTTATTATGTGTGTGAGAGAGAGTATGTGATTCATGATGATGTGTGTGTATGTTTATCAAAATAAAAGAAGAGAAATAAGAAACTCGAACCCTAACACACTCTCACATACACCTACACGCATATCCGCACCCTTACGCCGACACCAACATCCACCCTGTTCTATAGATATACGAAAGACAAAACATTAGCATACAAAAATCCTGTTCTAATAGGGAACATGCTCTGTAACCGTTTTCTTTCATTCTGTCACTTGTTTTACGTCTGTATAACGATTTTCTCTTTTCTGTTCTGTGACGACTTACGACGAGATAAATATGAAAGGACAGAATGCTTTTTATGTCTTACGATCCGTTAGTAGATGTATGAGACTTGTTTAGTCTTTCATTTTCTTCTCTGTATAGCCTTTGTATGATTATTCCCAGTATTTGGTCTTAATCATTCGATGGATGATTCCATATCCATAATAAACAGCTGTCATATATATAGTATATCCTTTTCTAGAAATAAAGCATGTGTGGTATACAAGTAGATTGATAGCGTATTATTTATTGATCAACGATCTACATTAATCTATTTATCAGTACCAGAAATTTTTTTGTAAGAAAACAAGTTTAATAGAGAGGATCATTCCATTCACACCTCAGGTAGTAATCTTGTAATAGTTAAAAAGGAGAACCTATGAGTAGAATTCAGTAATCTTTACCTATTTCAATGTGATAAGAAAACTTGTCAATTTATAGTATTAGTTTATTTGATATAATATATATAAGTAAATGAACGACTTAATATTGAAATATAAAACTTTTTTTATTTTAACAGCAGCGAAAATATTTTGTAATTGACAATATTAGCTAAGAAAGACTATCGAAAATGACAGAACTCACGTTTGCAAGTTATTTTCGATCTATCTCGTTTAGATCGAAGATGAAAAGAAAAGAATGTATAATGATGTCATTGTATAGTAAAAACAATAGTTTGCTAGTTATAAACAGCCTATATGTATACTATACGAAAAATGAAAAACATTCAATGGTCGTGTTGTATGTATCACTATGTAATAGTGCCAACGTAATTGCACAATATCAATTGGCTCCATCATAAAGATAGTCTATATAGAATTTACTTTGACAGTCTTTCTTAGCTGATATTGACAATTACGAAACATTTTCGCTCCTGTTAAAATAAAAAAAGTTTTATAATTTATAGATGTTAAAGTACTTAATATAGAATATATCTTTTTCAGAAATGGCAGAAGACAATCCAGTTGAGCTAGCGACGTTAGGACGTCCATTTCAGTTAGGTATGCTGTATGATCAAAGAAGTGATCAGATTATTCCAGGTACTACATTATGGGATATTGAAGAATTAAAAAAAAATGTTGATGTACGATTACAGCCGTTTACAAATTATGAATTGGTCGCTGAAGATTCAATCAATGACAAAACTCATGCGCTTGGAGTACAAGCAGAACTTAAATTAAGCTTACTTGCAGGTTTAATTAGTGTATCCGGTTCTGGAAAATACGCTGAAGATCGAAAATCGTCTAACTCACAAGCACGTCTTACTCTTAAATATTCCACAACGACACGATTTGAACAATTAACAATGAATCATTTGGCAAAGGGTAATGCAAAACATTCATATTTATTGGCTAATGGAGCAACTACTGCTACACATGTTGTTACATCAGTTTTGTATGGTGCTGAAGCATTTTTTATTTTCGATCGGACCTTATCCTCAGAGGAAAATCATCAAGATGTGCAAGGAAAACTTGAAATTATGCTTAAAAAAATTCCAAAATTTGAAATAAGTGGTAATGGAGAATTAAATTTAAATGAAAATGATAAAGTGTTTATTGATAAATTAACATGTACATTATATGGAGATTTTAATTTTGATTATAATCCAAGTACATTTGAAGAAGCTGTTAAACTATATCAACAATTGCCAATGTATCTTGGTAAGAATGGTGAGAATGCTGTACCAAAAAAAGTTTGGCTTTATCCATTGAAAGCAATCGATCCGACTGGAACATTGAGAATTGTATATCAAATTTGAATAAATTTGATTGATTCGTTTACATCAACTATTGAATATTTGCATAAGTTTACTATGAAAGCAAACGATTTAAGTAAAAATTCAGTATGTAATGATTTCCTTCATATTAAACAGCAACTGATGGATTTTGTTGCACGTTTATCAGAATTTAAACGTGATTTACACAAACGTATGATAAATCTATTACCGAAAATTCGTGGTGGTGGTGAAGAAGAATTAGCATTAGTTAATCTATTAAAAGAAATAGATTCATCACCTTATAATAAACAGAAACTTCAATTTTGGCTTGATTCAAAAGAAAACGAATTGAAAATCTTGTCGACATTTGCATTGGCATTAAAAAAAGAATCAATTTCAGTAGCATCAACATCACTTGACGATGTTATCAGTGATATTAATTATGATTATGTTTGCTGTCTGTGTTTTCATTTTACTGAAGCAAATGTATCCGAACTGACAGATATGTATAATTATATTCATGATCGTTCGAAATTTGTTCCATCAACTATAAATTTACCTTGGTATGAAGATAAGAATATTATTCAAATGATTCGAACTGAATTACGTCTATTTATTGAATTTGCCAAAATAAATAAAACAAAAGAAAATGTTAAATTTGTAACAAATGAACAATATGCTAGTAATTATAATAATATTAAGGGAGCAACAATGATGCTATTTGAAAATGGTATACAACAACTAGATTTTCAAATACCGAGTAAACCGGGAAAACCATATTCCATCAATATTACATCTGACAGTATATCATTGGAATGGACGAAACCGGAACGTGGATTTAATTCTATTAACAAATACAAAGTCTTATATTGTATTGATGGAAATAATCAAGAAGATAATAAATGGAATGAAGTAACAACTGATACATTGATCGAAAAGAAAACTATTTCAAATTTAGCTGTAAACACACTTTATGTTTTTAAAATTCAATCCATTACAATTGTTGGTGATAGTCTAATCAGTGACGTTAGCGATCCTATCAGAACTACAAGTCCACCTATAAAAACAGCTGCAATGCGTCTACTTCAGAATGCAACAGTAATTAAAGTTGGACACAACTATATACAAATTAGAATATAATGAAAAAATAATAAATCGAAATTTTCGTTTACGAAAATGTTCTGTTGGTGAAGCTGTTCTTTACAATGGACGATATCCTTCAGAGAAAATTATTATGATGGTCGGTGCAACAGGAGCTGGTAAAACTACGATGATTAATGCTATTGTTAATTATTATTATGGTACACAATGGAATGATAATTTTCGTTTAAAACTTATTACAGAAGAAGATGAAGGAATTAATGGTATAACGCAAAGTCAAGCAAAAAGTCAAACAAAATGGATAACAGCATATACACTTCATCATCTACCTGATTGTACCGTATCATACACATTAACCATAATTGATACACCGGGATTTGGTGATACAGAAGGAACTAAGCGCGATGCTCAAATAACAGAACAGATTCATGAATTTTTTCAAATAACTGGTCCACATGGTATTGATCATATTGATGCTATTGGTTTTGTCATTCAAAGTTCAGCCAATCGTTTGACACACACTCAAAAATATATATTCGATTCTATTCTTTCAATGTTTGGTAACGATATTAAAGAAAATGTTTTTCTTATAATAACATTTGCTGATGGACAAACACCACCTGTACTTGAAGCAGCTCGTGAAGCAAATCTACCATACAGAACATATTCTAAATTCAATAATTCTGCATTATTTGCCAAAAATAAATTAACACATGAAGAAGAAAATGAAAATTTTGATCAAATGTTTTGGAAATTAGGCATCACAAGTCTTAAAAATTTTTTTATTGAGTTTCAAAAAGTACAACCGACTAGTTTAACATTAACAAAAGAAGTATTAACAGAACGACAACATTTAGAAGCTATTGTACAAGGTATTCAACCACAAATTCAATTTGGACTTAATAAATTAGAAGAATTAAGACAAGAAATTCAAGTAATTAAAGCACATGGAAATGATATATTACAAAACAAAAAATTTCAATATAAAATTAAAATGACAAAACAACGTAAAATCGATTTACCATCAAATACCTATGTTACTAATTGTATTAAATGTAATTATACATGTCATTATCCTTGTGGAATTCCAAATGATAAAGAAAAATATAATTGTGATGCTATGGTTAACAAAGGTCTCAATGCTTCATGTAGTATTTGTCTAGGAAAATGTATTTGGAATTCGCATTTTAATAATACTTATCGATTTGAATTATATCAAGAAGATGAAACAAGAACATCAGAAGAAATGAAAAAACGTTATGAAAAAGCTCGAAATGATGGTAAAACGGCACTCAATTTAGCTGAATTATTGAAAAAAGATTTCGAAAAAACACAAATGACAGTCTATGGTATGATTGGTAATGCACGTAAAGCTATTGAACGACTTGAACAAATAGCTTTAAAACCAAATCCATTATCCATTGTTAATTATATTGAATTGATGATTGAATCTGAAAAATAAGAAGCAAAAGCTGGATGGCAAGAACATATACATCATTTAAATGATGCAAAACAAAAAGCTTTATTGATGCAACACATGAAAGATCCCAACTATGACGTATTCATGGATTCCAATTATATTCTTAATGAATTTGCAAACTCAGCTGGTATTATACAAGAATCAGTCACTAAAGAACCATGGTACAAAAGACTATTTCATTCAACATAAATCATTTCATATTTAGTCTACAATTCCCTTATTTTTTTTATAAATTTTCATTATTTTACTTAGCTCTGATTAGAAACCCCAAAGAAAGAAAAATACACAAATATAAACCAAGAAATAAACAAAAAAAACTCGGTTTACTTCTTGTTGAAATGCTTTTTGATGAAGTTTAATCTTAATCGGCAAACACATCTTCTAAACATAGCTTGATATCTATATTCCACGAGCTTTATTTCATCGATTACAATAACGAAACATTCGAATTTTCAAAAGAATTCCGTTCATCTTCTTTATTTGCTGAGAAAACTTTTGACAGAATTTAGAACTTATAAATGATTGATTCGAAATAGTGTACCTTTGTTTGTTTCTTCAAGTATTTTTCTATTGAACTCTTTTAATTCAACATGGGATAATTATTTCATATAGTTGATGATGAGTTGCTTTTGATTTGTACTTGCTCTTGATTAATATCCAATAATGATCATAATTTATTCTTTTTAAATGACATTCTTTATATCTTCATATATTGATTTAGATAGAGAGATAACTCATTCATCAAACTTCACAGATAGAATATATCTATGTCATTAAGAATATGTCGACATCAGATTCTACTCGTTATTCAATGTGAGAGCCAAAAGGCAAAATCTTTAATCCCGCCACAACACTAAACGAATATTCGAATAAAGTTATTTATAAAATAGGTATAACGTGTCGAAATATTATAGATAATTTCATATACATTTTTAGAAAAATTTCTAGATATTCTTTATCTTATTAAATAAACTTTCTTTATACAAGAAAACATTAGATTATTTTATTTGAAAATCAATGTTAAAAAAAACACATGAAATTAATGAAAAGGGTTACCATGTGTAAACGTCGTTTTCTACTTATACTATAAGACTTAGAAAATAAAAATAGATCTTGTAAGATCAATGTGAAAAGATATTCATTTTTTGAAATCAATTCTTCAAAAAAAAAACAAATGTATTTTGATTAATAACGAATTGATGATTATTTATGCGTATATAACATTCAACAAAAAAAATAATAAATGCTTTCGTACTTTATTTAAGTAGCAATATACGTTAGAATTTTTAAATGTATTTATATTTCAATCTTCTCTCATACTCTCAATGGTATGTTCTTGATTGTTTTATGTATTTCAAATAAGAAAAACTTTTTTTTTCAGAAGAAATATTCTTAATATTAACAAAATAGACAACATCTCTAGACTTAATCCTATTTTGCTTTATTCTTTGATAATTTGTTTTATAGATAATTATTTTTAAAATGTTTTATATGACGACTAGAAATACATTAACAGAAATTGAATAAATCTTAAAAAAGATTATAGTTCCATTATCTCATTGTGTACTTTATGTTATTATCAATTTAAAATCAACTTGAAATTTTCGTTAAGAAATATCAAATAAACAATTCATTGTTGAGAAATTTCAATGTCAAATGAAATGTTTCTTTGAAAAAATATTCTTTCTATTATCGTGCCTCTATTCAATAATCGACTATATATATTCGTATAGTTATTATTCTATTGAATATCTTTAAATTGAATATGTTGGAAATTTTATGGAATAAAACTAAAAATCCTTCTATATATAAACAAATAAACGGACAAGTAAAATCCTTCTTTATTGGATCTATTCGTCTTTCTCTTAGAGACAACCGTTATAGTCTTTATTATATAAGTAGTAATGATATGATAGATAATATATATTATCGTCTATCGTTAATAACTACCTCAAAAACAAAAAGTTTATTTTATTAACATAAATATAATTTTTAACTGAAATAAACCCTTCATATAACTGCTTGATGTAACCTAGATCAATAATTTCGATGGTTTATATCGAGAGATTTTCCGGTCGAAACATATTGAAAAATAGTCAAATACTCGATTTGATTTCGAGATAGAGAAATATCTAACTATTGAGTTGAATCACCGTTTTTCTACTTCTAAAATAGAAGAAAAGAACCGATTTACACATGATGATGAATTTGAAACTTGATTCGAGTCATTTTTAAAAATTTTTCAGCTAAATGAATTAATTTTGATTAAAATAAAAAAGAAAACTTTTTCAATATATTATCAATGAATTCAGTAAACATTGATTTATTTTTATATTAAAATCATTCGAGATATATTTCGATAAAATCTTTGAGAAAAAAGATCGACTGTTGATTATTGCTCAGAAAGAAGAAAGAAAAATATTTTTTTTGGTTAAATTAATTGAGAACATCAAACGAATCAATACGATTCGGACGAATTTCACCAACGAATAATGAACGACCATTTACACTTAATGTCAAATCATGTGGTTCACCAAATTTCTAAAAAATATACAAATAATAGAATATTTGTTTTAAAAAAAAAACATAAAAGACAAACATCATGTGGTTCCCAAGTAGCAATCAATTGACCAAATGATTCTGGATGAACACTAAATGTAAAACCTAATGCTCGATTTTTTCCATTTCTACCACTAACTGCATAAAGACGATCTATTTATTAAAACAAATTTATTTATTATTATTATTATTATTATTTAATAATAACATACGTTTATTTGGATCATAATCAATAGCATAAACAGTTTTCATTAATGGATGATCAATAATAGCTTTAACTTGATCATAGTCATTTGTTTGATCATCATCATTTTCTTCATTAAAACAAACAATTCTATTTAAAAAATAAAATTATTTTTTTATAAAAATAATTAAAATAAAAAAAAAACCAATGTTTTACCGTCCATTTTCTCTATCAGCAACACAAACAAGATGAAATGTTTCCATAATAATAATACTATGTGGAATAATAAGTGGTTGTTCTCCTTGAGGCATTGAATATTCTTTTATAAAATTTCCTTTTGAATCAAATTTAACAATACGAGCATTACAATATCCATCAGCAACATATATATTTGAACCATCATTTGATGTAACAACATCAGTTGGTTTACAAAAATGTGATGAATCACTACCAGCAACAAATGATTCACCTAATGTTAATACACGTTCACCTTTCGAATATTTAAATACCTGAATTTTTTTATTTTAAATTCATTTATTTTTTTTTGTTGTTGTTTTTGTTTACCTGATGCATTCCAACATCTGTTAACCAAAGATTTTCTTCAATATCAACGGAAAGACCATGAGGCATGTAAAATCTTCAAAATCAAATAATGAGATTTATTTATTAATTAATAAATATGAAAAACTAACGTATTATTTCCCCATTGATCAATTATTTGACCAGTACGAGTATTGACTGTAAGAATTGTATTTTCCGGTATAACACCAAATTTATTCTTATCAAAATTTACACCATCAGGAAACGATCTTTAAATAAAAATACAAAAAGTACACTTTTATATCACAGAAAAGAAAAGAAAAAAAACGTTTTCGTCTTCGCTATTTGATGTCTAATTATATTTGTATCAATTATTCGACAAGTTCTTCTCATCTCTCTCTCTCTATATATATATATATGTCTGTCTGATAATGAAATCATTCAGTATAAAACCGAAGAATGTCATATGTTCACGACTGGTCATATTGTTATAGTTCAGGTGATGATTCTTTTTCTTTTTCTTATATTTCAGATCCAGGTTATTGTCCAGTGCACAATTATCCACCACCACCACCACCTCCTCCTCCTCCTCAAATTGGTATATGTCCTATTCATCAACCATATCCATATTATAATTATAGAGGTGTTCCTCAACAACAAGTAAGTAATGAAATAAGTTCATCTACTTCTATGTTTCAGGTTGGTCGTGAAAAGAATAATCGTCGTTTTTCTCCTGAACAAATTCGTATTCTTGAAGAACATTTTAATAAAGTTGATAAATATGTATCAAAAACAACAATTGATGATCTTTCAACTCGAACTCAATTAAAACCGGCTCAAATTCGTGTTTGGTTCAATAATAAACGTACAAGAGAACGTCATTAACTTTTCTTTTTTGTTTTTGTTTTTTGCTTTTCTTTTTTTTGTTTTTAAATAGAATGTATGCATTAAACATACTCTTGATTCCATTCTCTTGATGCTCGATGAAAAATAAATAATCGATTTGGATTTTTAACAGATGCAGCAAGACCACTAACTTGACCAAGTTTATATTCATGTTGAGAATCTTGATCAGATGAGACCATTTTTAATGGTTGGTTTCCAATAACTTTATATGTTATAGTTCTCTAAATAAAGAATAGTTTTTATTTAATATATTATATTTAATATTTACTTCGTCCGAACCACTACTACTTGAAATAAATCGTTCATGAAATGCTCTTCCATTGACATTTAAAACGAAGGCGATGAAAACAAGAAGGAGGGTAAGATATTCCATTGGAAAATAACTCGTCTTCTACAAATGTCAATCTACAAGAAAAATAAAGAATCAGAAAAGAGAAAAACAACATTCTCCGGCGTTTTTTTTCCTTCGTTTTTTTAGAGTTGTTCTCTCGTTCATCTCGTCGTCTATAAGTAAAAGAGAAAAAAAAAAGTTCAGATTATTTCTTTTTTTTTCGGTCTTTGTTGGTTGTAGGCGTCGATCGTTCTATGATTCATGGAAAATAATGTGAAGAGAAGCATATGTTGCTTTTTTCTTTCTCATATAAAATATTTATTCTATGTCATGAAATTTTTTTTCTCTAATTTAATTTATTTCTGATAGAAAAATCGAGTCAATTTTCAACAAAATATATTTCATATTTTTGACAAATGAAAAATAGTTTTAAAAAAAGTTGTTATGTGTTTATGAAAATAT